CCTCATACAAGGTAGGTGTTCCCAGAAAGAGAACCTGTAGTCTTGAGATTGCACTAGGGGTTATTTTATATGGTCCGTTTGCATACAAAGAGTGTTTGGCAGCAATTCTCTAGGCTACATTCACACCTAAGCATCACAATTTCAAGCGGTTTTTTTTTTACCTTTTTTTTTCCAGGTGTTTTTGAGCATTTTTTGCAGCTTTTGATAAGTGTTTTTCAACCAAAAGGTGTGGCGTGCTGCTTAAAAGGGGACAGAGAGCTGCTGTTTAAGCAGAAAACACTTAAAAAAAAAAAAAAAAAAAACAATCGAAAAAGCTATGCCGTGCTTTTCAGGCATTTACATTAAAGTCTATGGGTCCAAAAATCCACAATTCTGCCTGAAAAGTAGCTTTTTTTTTAACCAACATTTTGCTACAAGTGACAGGACGCTCAGATGTGAGCAAGGGCTATTGAAAACAATAGATTTTAGAGTGTTGAGCGTTCTTGAGCTTCAAGCTAAAAAACGCTTAAGGCTCAGTTTACACTGCGGCGATTTGAGATCCGACTTGGGGTCTCACATGTGAAATCCCATGTTAGTCAATGGGAGCTGTCTTACTTAACACTACTGAAGTCAACCCGACTTTAGAAAAGGTCCTGTACTACTTCAAGGCGACTTCTATCAGACGTTAATGGAAGTTACCTCCAAGTCGGATCCTCATCTATATTGATGTGATTTGGATCCGACATTACAGAAAGATTACTCAGGCATTCCCTGAAAGTTGCTTCAAAGTCGCTTCAAAGTAGTACTCAAAGTTGCACTGTAGGTCGCATGATGTGAACCGAGGTGAAGTGTGAACAGGGCCTAAAAACTTCTGACTCCTGCAGCATAAACGTTTATTCTACTAATACAGTACACTGGTTTTTATATATCAGACAATTATCTGGAGTTGGATTCATTACATGATTAATTCATCTCGACTAAAGTCTTCTCGCTGCCAACAACCTTCTTCAAAGCCCAGACTGGAATGTATGTGACAACGTATGTGACATATCTGTTCTGAAGGAGCGTGGAATAGCCATGAAAACAAATTATGGATGTTTTAATGGAACTACAACAATAGAATACATGTTACCATGGATACAAGATCTCCTAATTCTTTGTTCCATATGCGACATCCACCAATACCATATGTCTCTGCAACACAAGCATTTCAGGACTTTTTTGTAGCACACTTCTCATCTGACCAACCACTCCTGGCACAGCCCACCATGAGGTGCTTCTCCCTATGCATTGATTGCATCTATTCACTAAAAGAAAAATTTGCATAGAAACAGAGATATTATTCACAAGCTTGATGACAGGTTGCATACCATTTTGATGGTTGTTTACTGCAACCTATCCAGTTGTACTGTATGCATTCCACTACCTCCTCCTATTTGTGGAATTACACATATTGGACTCTCTCCTGTCTCTCGCCTCCCGCTTGTTGAGTTCCACTCTATTTCTGAGAACAATACAGCAATAACAGAAACATGGCACTGTTTTACAGTGATGACATAGTCCATTGAGTACTTTTGTAAGGGCAGACTTGGCTGTTAGACTGGAGTATTACCAAACTTCAGGGTGCAATGACTGGGTATTTTGTATTTGCAATCACACATTATTAACAAGCCCCATAAACAAGACAGACAACTGTACCACACTAAGAATAAAACACACACACATGAATTGTATAAAATATTTGAACACTTTATTTGAATAGATTTGAATATCATACCTACCACAATAAAATGTGTTCACGTTCCCTAAATATCTGAATTCTGAAAAGGATATTCATACCATCCATAGCCCAGTGATTATGTGCTATAAGAGGTAGGACATTCATGTAGAAAACAGAAATGCACAATGACTTCTAGTAGCAACACATGGAAGGAGTGGCTGGACACTCATACTGCAACCTGCAGCCAGCACCACATCCTAAGTGAAGGGTAGTCAGGCAATGTTGGCTTATAACCCTGTAACTATAAAATGCAGCTTTGGAAACACCTCCTATCTACATCAAGCATTTGGCATACTTAGAAAAGAGTGGATGCATGGGCTGCCATAGCTCGATGGTGCACATCTTCACTTTTACAGCATTGTAGATTGTACAGATTGTAGAGATGAATATTGACATATGCACTGTCAGTACTCTAGTATTTTAATACTTTAAGGTATGTAACCTGTCTTCAAAAGTTGTTTAAAAATGCATGTTCCTCTAGGCTGGGAAAGAGAAAATAGACAATTGTATCCAACAGTTTACAAAGACAATTATTATGTAAAGAACATATACAATCCTATCTGATATGTGACCCGCCATTGTCAAGATTTGCACCTCAGAGGCTCCTGTAGAAGCCATTTCCAGCTATGTGTACTTTGCCTGGACAGCCACAGTACTGGAAAACTATGGCACTGCTGGGAACATAGTAGAAAGTAGTTTAAGAAATGATTCTCCTAGCAGGTCAGCTTTGCTGGTGTTGGGTAATTTACAGCGGAACGCTGATCAGGTTGTAAAATGGCCTTTTGGTAGCATCCTCCTTCTATAGTAATGCTCTAATAAGCTTTTTAAGCCTGGGGGGGGGGGGGGGGTAGAACAGAGAAACATACATACCTTACCAAAGGCATCCTTCCTGCTAAACAACCAGTCCCAAAAAAGCAGTTCTTTTCTGGTTCTGCAAGCTACCACTTGCCTTGCCAATATCGTCATGAATAATACAGGACCAGCGAACCTGCACTGAACGTGAGGACGTCAAAAGCCTATCCACAAGGCAGCAGAGAAAAGGAGCAACAGCAGTCAGGTAAGTGTGTTTCTCTGTTATAGCCCCTTAATTTTAGTGAGCCTCTGCTACAGAAGTGGGGAGCTACCAAAAAGACATTTATATGAGCTGACCAGAGGTGATATTTTCTGCAACAAGTGTGTGCTGAACGTTTACACTGTCAGCTGTCATTAGCTTTGTCATTTTCTTTTACCCACAGGTTTGCTTTAAAGCCTGTGCACACAGGAACTTAGTCATAGATAACACTCCGTATTTGGCAAGACACAGATGCTGATCTGCCAAAGTTACGACTTCTCTGTTAGTTCCTGGTAAACTTACAGAGCTGGAGAAAACCCCATGAAAGCTACTGTCTGTCATAACAGAAATTCCAAGAAAACTGCAATAAAATGGCATATGCACAATAGTGGCAGAGTGATTCGGCCTTCTGGAGTTCTTAAAACTGGATATTTTTAACCAAGGCAAACCTGAAATGAACATTTAAAGCATTGCTTTAAAATTGACAAATTAAAAGAAAATCAGCATTTATGTCAAACATCACTCATAACAGCCTTAAATAAACAAATCATAAAACAACATTGCACAAAATGCCTTAAACATAAGTGGGAACTTTATGAAAACATTTTTAAGGAGTGGAATCTTAAGGAGAGGACTTTGGCTTTACGTGGAGAATGCTTAGGGAATCTGGTGTGCGAAATATTCTTATATTTGAAGTGAAGATACATTTTACTTTTTTTCGATACCTTTACTAATTTCCTCTGTCTTGAAGATCACAGTGCCTGTTCATCTTAATTATGGGCCAGTCTAACTGGTTTAAATGGGCAGGCACGCCACCCAGAAAACCTGCTACTGTGTGACATTTCCCATTTAAAAACAGTGGTTGCAGATCATCATATGAAGGCTTCCAAGAGTAGTATGGCCCTTTGCATACAGGCTAAATAACTGTTAATATGTAGATGTGTCATTCTGCCTCAGTACCATTAAAGGTAAACAATACTTGTAATATACAAAATGTAAAGATCATAGCAGCAATACATGTAAAGGTCTATGGATATGCCTAATGGCATGCCCTGCATTGTATGTGCAAAAAATGAGAACTGTACTTTTACTACATTTATCCTTTAATTAAATCTCCCTCCAATATCCCCACCAAATCTTCCTCTTACTTGTACCACTTCGAACATATTAACTGCGCTGCCCATCAGGAACTGCACATGTACACCACTGGAGTTTATAGAAAGGCAGATCATCATTAATGGTAGCAGTGGATGGCCCTTCCATATGAAATAGTAAGGTATCTACTCTACAACCCTGTGGTTGGCCAAGCTGGGAGGCTTTTTATGAGTTGTCTGTTCATCTCCCAGTGGGCAGTGCAGGGAAGATCTAGGGGTAGTCAATGATGCATAAGTGTAAGATGTTTGGGGCTATCCATATTGGTCATATAGGCAGTAAAATACATCTAGACACATTTATACAGCCTAAATAAAACGCTACACCAGGTCACCGAATCACTCTCCAAACAAAGAATTCAGTTTTGGGCAAAGTGCTTTTTTTTTTTCTAAACAGAGGAAAGTTACATTATCAATGTACATTTTCCACAACCCTCTACATATCAGATTCCATTAGTTCCCTGTTTTTGCCTCAGTGGCTTGAAATGCAGAAATGCTAGCACAATAAATAATTGTGCAGGAATTTCTTTTGACTCAGCAATTTTCCCTGCTGCTGAAAATAAGTAATAGGAAACAAGACAATAGTTAGTTTCCATTTGAACTTAAAGGCCTTCATTGCTAGTTTGGGCTGCAGCCTATCGCCCTGCAATAGAAGCTGCATCCCAATGGCTCCGAAGAGGTACGTTTAAAGAGGCACAACAAGATAAGAGAAAGAAAAACATTCTGAACAATGGGATGTTTGTTGAAAACAAAATAAAACGCGTAATATGTTTTTTTCCACAAAACTTGCTACAATGATTTAAGATATTTTAGTAAAATAAAATCACATTTTTTTTTTACATTTTCCTGAATATATCGATAGTATACGATATCTTTACTGGCTGCAAATTATGGACTGTAAAGATGAACGGGAGAAAGGCATTGGAAACATTAGACAGAAATGCAGGCTCCCAACAGCAGTAATACTCCAGGTAATCAGTCACTGCCCACATGTGATTAAATCTCTGTGAATAGTCCCAAGACGCTGCGATGGAGTGATTTACGTCAAGTCTGCCATGTTTAGTTCTGGTAAGGGATCTCTCCAATAGCAAAATGAGCTGTACTCTGGGCAAGTGAAAGCGCTGTTCTGTTCTTTATCAAGCAAAGGAAAGACGTGTTCTACCAGCTCACTAAGTCTGCTATACCTAAAAGAAAAACAAACAAAACATACAGTTCATCAACTGGAATACTAAATGAGTTTTGCATCCCCCAAACATAACTACAGAAGAGTTATTAAAACTGATTAAAGAAAGTGAAACTTACGAGGTCTTATTCCCTTTTGTCCTCTCTTGTATTAATTCGCCTTTTGGGTTGACAGTAAAAATTCGAAAATCTTGTACACCAACTTTCATATAGGCAAACACATCCTACAACATAAGTGGAAATAGATTTATAAACACACTTCAATATGGTAAATAGGATGAAGATGTCCTCTATTGCTAAGTTTACTCAACATAAAGTACCTGGCACGTGCAGCTTTACTTACCAGACTTCCCTCCTCCTCACATCCACTGTATCTCAAATAATTAAAGTAAACCTGTCCTAGCCTAAAGACAGCCTTAAGTTAAAGAGGAGACCCCACCAAAAAGGGGAAGTTCCGCTTTAAGGACTGGTCCCCCGCTCCCCATTAAGGATTGGCACCTTTGGGGAGCGGGCACCCGAAATTGACAAGTATCCGCTCCCACTTCTGCTGAGGTCGCCTAGACAGTCAAAAGCGGAAGTTGTCCCCCCTCCCCCGTAGACTTCTGGGACAGGTCCCAGAAGACTACGGGACCATTCACAAAGTGCATGTTCAGTAAGCACCAAGCTGGGTGCCCACACTGAAGATGCTTGCGCCGGGAACACAGGGCAGCCGGTGAAACATGCTGCGGGGGGGGGGGGGGGGGGGGGTTGACATCGCAGAATCGAGAGATAGGTAAGTTTCCATTTTTTTTTTTTTTTTTTTTTTAAAAGTCAACAGCTACAGTAGCTGCTCACTTTTATTTTTATTTTTTCCATTTTCACTGGAACTCCGCTTTAACAACAGCGCTAAAGTGCAGGTCCACAGTGCAAGTGATAATCTTCAAATCAACACTTGTGTGGAGCTCTTTGGATCCTAGGCCAAAGCTGTACACAGAGCCTCAAATTCTCTGAATGGTCAGATTAAGCCCTAGCTGTGCCCCCTCCCAGTGCCAAAACCAACACTCTGTCATTAAACTGTCAAATGGCAAAGCCTTTTATGGCCCACAGTGGCTCTGGTGGATTTATAGAAGGTGGGGTTTAGTGATTGGGGAAAGGTTTTTAGGAGCTTGAAAAGAAGATAACAAAGGCAATTGCTATTAGTCAAGTTCATGTTATACCCCGAATCTGCCCCCAATGTTATAATTTGGAATTAACATAGCCTTCCAAAATGCTCTAGTGGAAAAAATATGCATATCAACATTTTGTGAAGTCTTGACCCACCATTATGGTACAACCTATTGCCTTCAGAAGTCACACCAAAAATCAAACAATCTGCACACTATTAGAATTATCACATGATCTCACAGTAAATACACCCATAAGGAACACTGCACAATTATGACTCCCAGAGGAATTCATCTGGAAAAGCCGAGTGTCTAAGTAAGGAAAGACATTTGTCAGAGAAGTACCAAAGAACGAACTGTAAGTCTTAGGGAGCTGCAGAGACCCACATGTTAGACTCCACAGACCACTAAGCCTTTTTCTGCCAATACTCTTCTATGTTAATATAAATGGCAATGCCCAAGGGATAACTAGAACCTGGATGTGCCACAAAGATGGGCATTATAAAAAAGAAAAGGTTTTACTGTCTGATGAGACCAAACCTAAACCTTTTCTGCTATTTGAGAGAGAACACCATCACTACTCAATTTCCTTTTGACATCATCCCCACAAGAAAGCATAGTGGTGGTAGCATCATGCTGAGGGAATGCTTTTATCAGCAGCAAACAGAAAACTGGTCAGCACTGAGGGCAAGTTGGATGAAGCTAAACAAAGTATTGCTAGATAAAAACCTGTTTTGGTTTGCATGACATCTGTGACTCGGAGTTATGTTCTCATCAACTAAAGCCACACTGAAGTGGTTTAATCCAAGGTTTTTAAATGGCTAAAACAAATCAATCATCCATCCAAATGTGAATCTGTGGTAAGTTTAAAATGGCCCACTTCAATTTGAGAAAAATAGACCAATTTTACCAAGAAAAATGGACAGACATTACAGGATCTAGATGTGAAAAGCTAGCACAAACTTACCCCAAAAACTCTTAACAGTATTTACAGCTAAAGATAGCTCTAACTGTATTGATTCAAAGTTTTAAAACAGAAGAATGGCCAAAGCTTTTCTGGTTATATTTCTCTTACTTTTGCACTCCTGTGACCCAGAATCAGCCAGCAGCTGGTGAAAGCCCTCATGGAGCCACTCTAGGCTCTGCAAAAAAATTCCAACAATAATGTTGGGATCCACCCATATGCCTGATCAGCAGCTGGCTCAGCATCTCAGCATGCCAGGCGCTCCCACCCCCTTCACCAGCCCAGAACTCCAGTGAACTCTGGAGAAGCTGAGCCGAGAGCAGTGACTGACGGTCACTGCTCTCTGCACAGAGTAGAACAAGGATCTGAGCAATCAGCGGTCATGTGATCACTCAGTACTTGGGCTTATAGCTGAAAGGGGAAAACTTGGGACACAGTGATACTGCAGCCATAGAGGCGAGTATTATTTTTTTTTTTATTCCCACACTTCTCCTTTAAGTATTTCTGCATGAAACAGTACAACCTCAAACTTAATCCAGGTGCATTCCTGGTTGTAACATTACACAATGTGGTAAAGACTAAAGAGTGAATTCTTGTATACAAGGCACGGTAAATTACTAACTTGTCACATTAACCCCTTGCCTAGCGGGCACTTATACCCCCCTTCCTGCCCAGGCCAATTTTCAGCTTTCAGCGCTGTCGCATTTTGAATGACAATTGTGCAGTCATGCAACACTATACCCATATGAAATTTTTATCATTTTTTTTAAACAAATAGTGCTTTCTTTTAGTGGTATTTAATCACTGCTGGGTGTTTTATTTTTTGCACAAAAAACAAAGAGCAAAAAAATAAAGTTTTTCTTTGTTTCTATTATAAAATTTTTCAAACAGGTAATTTTTCCCCTTCACTAATGTGCGTTGATGAGGCTGCACTGATAGGCAGCACTGATAAGGTGGCACGGATAGGCAGCACTGATAGGCGGCACTGATATGCAACAATGATGGGCACTGATAGGTGGCACTGATGGGTGGAACTGGCAGCACTGTTGGGTACTGATGGGTGGCACTGATAGGCAGCAGATGGGCACAGGTTAGTGACACTACTAGGCACTGCTGGGCACAGGTGGGTGGCACTGCTGGGCACAGGTGGGTGGCACTTGTGGGCACTGACCATCAGGGCACTGATAATCAGGGCCCTGATGACCGGTGCCGATCCATCCTCTGACAATTGCCGGTTATCGGCAGTACTTGCCTCATGAAGTGACCTCGCGAGGAAAGTGCAGCTGATAACCGGCAACTGTATTTACCTGGTGATCTGCTGTGTCATTGGACACAACTGATCACGTGGTAAAAGGCCGCTGCGATTGGCCTTTTATCGCATCACATAATCAGCTGTGTCCGTAGGACACAGCAATCATGGAGATCGCCAAGTGCATACCCCCAGGGGCGCGCGGGAGAGCATCATATGACGCCCTCCCAGGACTGGACCGGTTGCCAAGTGGTTAAAGAATGCTACCTCAAAACTTAATTATCCTGATATGTGCCTATTTTACAATGTGTGTTAAAAAATATCCTGGTAGCTTTGTATTGCTTCCTTTGTATGGAATACTTGTTATTCCTGCCAGTCTCCCTGCTTTCCTATTTCAAACTGATGACACTAGGGATGAGAGCACATCCATCCTAGTGTAGTGAGTTTTCTTGCTGTGTTGGGTGCACAGTCTGCCTGTCTGCCAATGGTCAAGACTTCTGCTGACATGCCCTCCTACACAACCATTCACTGAGATGATCAGTTTCTCCAACCCACCTCTCCAAGCCCCTTATGCAGCTAAGAATAAAAAAAATCCAGTAAAAAAAAAAGAAAAAAAGGTTATTTTATATATATATATATATATATATATATATATATATATATATATATATATATATATATATATATATATATATATGTGTGATCAGCAGTTTTTTAATTACTCAGACCAGCCCGTCTGAACGTGGTCACCTAAATCCCCTTTCTTCCCCATTCTGGTGCTCAGTTTGAACTTCAGCAAACTGTCTTCACCACATCTAGATGCCTAAAGTTGCAGTGAGTTCCTGCCATATGATTGGCTGATTAGCAATTTCACACAAATATTTTACCTTTCATTTCTATTTTAAACAGAAGAGGTTGTTTTATAAGGTACGGGTTCACATATACCGTACTTTAACACACAAAGCAGTGGGAGCAGTACATTAAGAAATCTGGTATTTCATGGTATGTATTTTTACAGGTTATAATAAAGTTTTATGAGCCAACTATTCTAATGGCCCTTAAAAAAATTTTTTTAGATTACCTGATTTAAGTGGAGCTTTAATTTATATTCAATATGCAACATGAATTGAGGAAGGAAAATAGGCAAACACTTTTTTTTTCTTTTTGTGTTGAAATTTGGTAGGACAACAGTTAATGTGCAGCTTGAGCTGAAGGAAGGAATTTTTAAAAGCTTTCAGTTCTAAACATTTCAACACAGAAGCCGAGCAGTGAGCCAGAGACATGAGATCTATCCCCATGCTGAGGGCCTCAGGAAACATTGAGTCATGGGGAAATGTGGCTTGCCTGAAGATTCTGGACGCAGCACACACTTCCAGGGGGATCCCTTTGTTTGATGACCTCTGGCATTGATCCACTTTTGTTTAAGATATGAAAAAAACAAAATATTCTGCCTGCACTTTCTATCCTTTAAAGTATATGAAAAATCCGAGTGAGGGAAAAACAGCATGTGTAGTGAAAGGTAATCGAGGGCTGTTTCCATACATCGAAACTGTGCAATTCTTCCATAGCGCAACAATAAACAGCATCCAGCATAGAACACAAACAATTCTATATAATCATCTGTGCAGATATTATGCTTCAAGTGTGGATCCCCAGAAAGAAATGGTAGTAATAACTACTGTTTGGGGAAAAAAAGGGTTTAAATTTCACTATAGCTGGGGTGCTGCAACAAAAGGGAATGAAGAGATCAATACAAGAAACTGTTATTCCCAAAACCAAAATGTTATATTATGTGCATTACATGAAATGGCCAATTGCATTCACATCTCTGTATGTAGCATCAAACTGTGCCCTTTATAGCTATTCTGTCATTAACACTGCTATGTGAAATACAGTGGTCATACTACTGAAATAAATTAGCAGTTTCCTAAAGACTGCAAGCTTCAGCAAACTGAACACCTGCCAGCCAACACCCTCATTGTCTGTGACCCCACACTGCAAACTGCTGAGCATTCAAACAGCCCACTCTCACGAGAGGAACCAGCTGCCTCCAATTCTCCCAGAATGGAAAGTCAATACACTCAATATCTAGTATAGGTATGTGACTGCTACTGAAAATTAAGGACCAGCCAAGCAGCAGTAGGGTCGTCGGTTTGAATCCCAGCCACAGCACTACCTGCCTGGAGTTTGCGTGTTCTCCCTGTGCCTGCGTGGGTTTCCTCCAGGTACTCCGGTTTCTCCCCACACTCCAAAGACATGTTGGTAGGTTAATTGGCTCCTAAGTTTGCCCTAGTATGTGTATGTATGAATGTGAGATAGTGACCCTAGAGTGTAAGCTCCTTAAAGGGCAGGGACTGATGTGAATGTACATTTTATATATATATCTACAGTTGTGTTCAAAATAATAGCAGTCAGACATCACTAACCTGATCAATCACTGTTTTTGGTAGAAAATGATATTTGTACATGGCAAATAATTTACTAGCAGGTATAGTAGAGTAATAGAAATCCAACAGACCCAACAGTCATGACATGCAGGCTGCTGATTCTGTGTAATTTAATCACTAATTGAAAGGGGCATGTTCAAAATAATAGCAGTGTGGAGTTCTATTAGTGAGGTCATTCATTCTTTGAAAAACAGGTGGCAATTATTGCCCTTATTTAAGTAAGGAAGGCAGCAAATGTTGTACATGCTGGTTACAGTGCATTTCTCTCTGAAATTCTGAGGAAAATGGGTCGTTCCAGACATTGTTCAGAAGAACAGCATACCTTAATTAAAAAGTTGATTGGAGAGGGGAAAGCATATAAAGAAGTGCAGAAAATGATAGGCTTCTCAGCTAAAACGTTTGCAAATGCTTTAAAATGGCAACCAAAACCTGAAAGATGTGGAAGAAAGCGAAACACTACCATTCAAATGCATAGAAGAATAGCCAAAATGGCAAGGACTCAGCCAACAATCAGCTCCAGGAAGATCAAAGAAGGTCTAAAGTTACCTGTGAGTACTGTTACAATTAGAAGATGCCTATGTGAAGCCAAGCTATCTGCAAGAAGCCCCCGCAAAGTCCCACTGTTAAAAAAAAAAAGACGTGCTGAAGAGGTTACAATTTGCCAAAGAGCACATTGACTGGCTTAAAAGAGAAATGGCACAACATTTTGTGGACTGATGAAAGTAAGATTGTTCTTTTTGGGTCTAGTGACCGGAGACAGTTTGTCAGACGACCCCCAAACACTGATTTCAAGCCACAGTACACTGTGAAGACAGTGAAGCATGGTTGCACAAGCATCATGATATGGGGATGTTTCTCATACTACGGTGTTGGGCCTATTTATCGCATACCAGGGATCATGGATCATTTTGAATACATCAGAATACTTGAAGAGGTCATGCTGCCTTATGCTGAAGAGGAAATGCCCTTGAAATGGGTGTTCCAACAAGACAACGACCCCAAACACACCAGTGAACGTGCAACATCTTGGTTCCAGACCAATAAGATTGACGTTATGGAGTGGCCAGCCCAATCCCCGGATCTTAATCCAATAGAAAACTTGTGGGGTGACATCAAAAATGCAGTTTCTGATGCAAAACCAAGAAATAGAGAAGAACTGTGGAATGTAGTCTAATCATCCTGGGCTGGAATACCTGTTCACAGGTGCCAGAAGTTGGTTGACTCCATGCAACACAGATGTACAGCAGTTTTCAGAAACAGTGCTTATACAACTAAATATTAAGTGATTCAAAGGAAAGCAAAATCTTCAAACATTTTTCAGTTTATATAGTGAATGTTTGAGTTCGTAAAGAAGAATACAAAACACTGCTATTTTTTTTGAACAGTCTAATATTCACTTTTCTTCAATTTTTTTAGATGAACAACACAAATTTGATATATTTTCCTTCATGTTTTGATTTGGAATAGAATGTGTAGTGTTCCCAATGCATTTGTGTGTATGGAAATAAAAGCTATTAGAAGAATTTTGAGCTTTATTCACTTTTTTCAACACACTGCTATTATTTTGAACACAACTGTATATCTGTGTACATTGATGGCGCTGTATAAGTACTTGTAATACATAAAACTTTTTTTTTTTGTTTTCTTTGGTGTGTGCAAGGGTTACAATCTCTATCAGACTGTTAGTGATGTCTGTTTCCCTGAGATCTAGGACAGGGTTTCACAACAGGAAGTCATAGGGAACTACTCTCATGAGCACTGAGAGGGGAATAACACTTTACTGTGCTTGTGTCACAGGAACAGAAAAGCGAGGGGACAGAGACAGCAACAAAAATCTGACAGAGGATCTAACCCTCTCTCAATTTATCCAAAATGTAAAGAGAAAAAAATGTCAGCTTTAAAGTCTAAGTTTTTTTTAATCATCACAAGAAGCATTACACTTAATGTAGTCATCAGGATATCTTCAGTCCTCTGGCCCACTCCCGTACGTTGCAGCCCTAATCTTCTGGTGCGGATAGGGTTAATACCAGCGATGGTCTTGTGACAGGCACTCATCGAGAGTGATAACTATGCCCACCTTTTCTGCCCCCCGTCATTTCTAGAAGCTTGTACTATTGCTTTCATGAACGAAAAGCAATCTATGAAGGGAGGAGGCAGACCTTTCATTCATCTGCTGGTTTTCTATTCATAGATCGTTCTTTATTCATGGAAGATATAGTATGAGTTTTATAAGAATGCAGAAAGGGGTGTGGAAAGGACAGTCATAGTCAACACTCTTGATGTCCAGCATTGATGTAAATAATGTCCCCATTTCTTATTTCCATTTTTATTAAATTTAGTGTATTATTACCACACATGAGTGCCCCCAAAGTAAGCCGCTTGAAGCCAAGAGCATCAGTGGAGGACCTGAGAAGAAGGGGACTGGGGCTGCTGTGTACCAAACCATTGCACAGTGCAGGGAACTATGATGTTTGTTATCTTAAACCCCCCCCCCCCCCCCCAAAAAGGACCTTTAATATTACTTTAACGCTTTCACTGCCAGGTCCATACGCCATACGGACCTGACAGCAGGGGGTTTTATACACCATCCAGTGGCTTTGGCCATGGGGATTGTGCATAAAACTGACAGGTAAACTCCGGCCTGTCAGGTGGAAGCAGTCAGGCGGCCCTGCTGCTGCTGATTACTTCCACAGGCCCTGGCGAAGGTGCAGGTTCTTTTAGACCCTGCATGTCTCAATAAAGAGAACCTGTCACCAAAAAAAAAAAAAATCACATAGGGGATTTTTTGTTCCCTATGTGATGAAAAAAAAAAAAAAAGTAAATTTTTTATTTTTTTGTAAAAAAAATAAAGTTACATCCAAGCACATATCACCCCCGCTGCCCCCCCCCCCCCCAAAAAACCTATAGAGGGCTTTTGAAGCGTCATCCATAGAAAATATAGGGCACTGAAGTTTGACGCAGTTTCATAGGTGTACACAAATTTACGGTTTGGTATGTTGGGTATCTATTTACTCATAGCAAACTTGTGTTTTATATTTTTCTCAAAAATGTGGGCAATTTATTGTGACTGTTTGCCCTAAAATTCACTTAAGTGTGATTTTTACTGAAATTTTGCATTTTGTAGACCTTTGCAATAATATCATGTGACATAAAATATTGGAACTACCACGGTTTTATTTTCTAGTATGTCAGCTTTCAGAAAATATATAATGTTTGTGGGTTTTGTGTAATCTTCAGGCCTAAAATGATTTTTTAAACGTGTGTAAAAAACGACTCAGGCAGCGAAAGGGTTAAGGCAGAACAGCAGTACAGATAGTCCGACTGTGGACATGACTTCTCCTTTCTCCTCCATAGAGAAAAATTCTTGAGGAAAGTCTGATCAGTTATAGGATTTTCTCCCCATTCTCAGATCATGTTACAAGCAGCGTAATCAATGAACTTTTCTCATTGGAGAAGGAGAAAATCCCCATCTGACTATCTGTGCTGCTGTTTTGTCTGAAGAACCAAAACTGTTAATCAGCCGGAGGTTCGGAGGCACACATTATTACAGGTAAGTGATGCAACTAAAGTTACAGAGTTTTTTGTTTAAACTTCAGCTTTAAAAATGAAGTCAATTGCTACACACAGGAAAAAGCCTGGCATTCTAACATGGCAGTATAAACAACTCACAGTTTACATGTCCTGGCAAGAAAGGTTTACAGTCTTAACTGTCCTCTGCTATAGTTCAGTTTAAATGAATATCTGTGACTAGTCCAAGTGTGACTATTTCACTAGCACAGCAATAACAGGTTTTTACATTAATGTCTTATTTTTTGGTTTGGGAAAGAAAAGCCTAGTGTTTCTGCACTAATATGAGAGAAGCAGGGCTGTTCTCCCTATAGAAGGAGGGTCTACAATCCCCGCACCTCACACTAACAGGAAAAGACATAAGGTACTTACATTGGGTCGGTTTCCAAAAGCAGCATAAAATGGTTGTTGTTTTGAACCAAACAAATTCTTTATGTCATTTAGACACGCTATCTTGAACTTCTCAGGCTTCTTTTCAATGACTTCCCTAAAATTACAACCAGTACTGTAAAATGAAATGTCAACTAGAATTGTAATGTTAAAAAAAAAGGCATAAATATAATAGCATAGCAGCATGGCCATGTTAACATAATTCTCAACACTCAACCCAACATTTTTAGACGGAGAGGAATTTAAACAATTTTACCTATCCCTGTTGCTCCAGTCTATTGCAGTCAACAGAGACTGTCAGGTGGTTTTAGTTTTCTATCATTTAACAAACTCTGAAATATCACCTTTTGGTAGCCTGATCTTTTACTGCTAGCTTTACCCTATGTACAGAGATTTAGAAAATGTAGGTCTCCATATTAAGCTGGTGCAGGAATACCAGAATGCATGCTATTGTATTGTAAATTAAAAAAAACCCCAAAAAGCTCAAAACAATCTAAGCATGACACCATAACAGTTACAGAGGTGAATTATGTAGCAGAAATATATCAGTCCCCTGCGCTCAAGAGTGGTGTACAAAGATGCAACTGTGATACATCCTCCGTGTATCAAATATCAGCACTGGCCTTGCTGATAAGGGTTGGGGGAAACCTGCAGGAACCAACTGTAAAAACACCAGCGCACCAGCTTTGTGCATTACCTAGGGTGATAGCTTTATTGATCCAAAACAAAATATACTCACAAACATTGTAGAAATAAAAGCATGTCAAATACAAAGTGACCAGTACACAGGATAAGCTCCCTAATTCGTGAGGACCCTCTTAAGACTGACGCGTTTCGAGGAGCGATCTCCTCTTCCTCAGAGCCGGTCTGATAACTCAATCAGTCTTATATGACTCAAGTCATTATTTTGGATCAATGACGCTATCACCCTAGGTAATGCACAAGGCTGGTGCGCCCCGTTTTCCCTTGTAGTTACAGAGGTGACACAGAACTGTAATTAAACAAATCAGTAGTGTACAGTTGTGTATACCTGTGGAATGCAGAGAACAGACTGCTAGGAGACAGCATAAGTGGTCCTCTAGGTAGGATAGTGCCTTTATCATTTACCCAGTGTAAATAGCCTCTAGTCATATCTGCCATGCCGATAGCACGGGCTGAACAATACAGAAATTTGTACCCATTCCTGAAATGGAAGAAAAAAAGAAAAGTCTTTTAACATACAAGGACACATGAAGACTCAGTACATGCAAACCAGAAATGTAATATTAATAGCCAATGAAAATGACAGTTACTCAATGCTGTGTCCTTTTGGAGTGTTAAAAAAAATACAATCACATTATTAAACATAATCACAGGACTCTTTCACACTGTATGCATTCAAAAATGCATGTTAAAAGCGGAGCTAAACTCTGTAATGCTTTCCTCCACTCAACAGTTCGGCGTTCCTCACTGGAATTTTCTACTCGGCTTTTTTCGGGTGCTGGGCTTTGGTCAGTCTCATTGGCTGGGGCAGGATGATGTCAGTCCTGTGCATGCACAGGAGTGCAGCCATCCAGACACACAGGCACTGTGCCGGAATGTAAGAACAGCTCAGTGTACATTCCACAAAAGACTGAGCAGGCAGGTAGGTTTCTATTATTACAGAAGAGACATTTTTTTTTCTTTTCTGCAATAAAAAGCCTGTGTGTTCACAGCTTTCAAAAGCAAGACTTTAGTTCTGCTTTAACAGAGAAAGAAAAAAACGATTATTAGCCTCTATTTATATGTCATTTCCAACTATGTTACTTCACTTGTCATGAGCTTTAAAAATGCATGTACAAAAGATTCCATTCACAGATCTATGTATATC